TTTATTACTTATACATGTAAGAGTTGTAAGTATATATATATATATATATATATATATATATGTGTGTGTGTATATGGATAGATTCATATATATATATTTGTGCATATGGAGAGATTCTGTAGCACTATTTGTAAAATATTATCTAGAAAAAAATGCATATCCAATTCAGTTACAAAAGGAGTTTCCTCTGGAAACAGAGGAAGGAACTGAGGGGACTTCCTCTCTGTCATATTTCATTTTTGAAATACTTTGTTTATTTTCTTTAAAAAGGGCAGGTATGTTATGGACTTGCTTATTAGACACATGGGTATTTGTTATTCTACTGTATTCTTATGTTTGAAAGATTCTCTAATAATATGCAATGTAAAAATGCCTTTCCCTTTGATAATTCTTCTAGTTTCTGTGTGGGAAAACATGAGGACTAATTAAGAAACTTGAGGCCTTAGGAGTTTCTCATGTTCTGCAACATACATTAAAAGCTAATGCTCCATATCCTCACTTATTTCCCTAAGTTTTATCTAAGAGGCAACATGGAGAAGAGATTACTACTGGTTGGCTTAAGTTCTCTCATCTCTGTCTCTCTCTGCCTTTAGACTGACAAAGCAGTTTCCCCATCCCACAGCTGTTGCCCATGGTTCTATAATGTATGCTTTGTTTCACTTCCTGTCCCAGTGTCCACATCCTGGAAGTCCGAAGAGCTTCCTCTGCTGGGTCCTGAGATGAGCTGGGGCAAGGCCATCGTGGACAACTGTTACTGACACTCGGCTGTGGCAGCTGCTGTTTCAGTCACTCGGGAATGTGCACTTAGCATCATGTCCCACTCCCCAATGCTAAAAGTCTCTTTCAGTCTTTTAATAGATTCTTGGGGGAGGAGGAAATAGAGGCTGAAGTTCACTCTATTCACTTGTATGTCTGGCTTAGTCAGATTGGCATCTGGCACCATGCCCATTGTTTAGACAGATGGTATTGTTTTCTGTTACACATACACACACACACTCCTGAGCCCAAGCCATATGTCCCTAGGGCTGAAGATACAGTGCACTGGCCAGAACTGTATTTAATCACATACTGAGGTATTAAACTCAAAGTGAGCATTCTTTGCCATTGATACAGCCATGTCAAATAAGGTTCAGGCTCTTTCAAGATGGTAGTGGTAAAGGTGCTAATGGCACTTGTTGTACTTAATGGTGACATTATCTTTGAAGAAAGTATGTTGAACGTGGGAAGAGGATGCCTTTGAAAAGGTTTCTCCACACAGAGGGATGAGATTTCCAAGGGAGACTATAGAATACTGAGGTGTCTAGAACGTCCTGAATTTCTAAAGATAGATACAAAGACTTCATTCTTCTTCAACACTGATGTGTCTCTCTTCCAGACTAAATACTTCCCAGAACTCACTGACACCAGCCATCTCACGCTCTATTGTGAGACTGGGTAGGGGAGAGCAGCAAACCATGGCTTCATAGGCAGAGTCCAGCAGCTTAGGCATTTAGTAAATAAGGGTTTATTAGAATCCACTGGTGCCTACTTTACAAATTGTCTACGGCTGCTTTCCCACTGCAGTGGGGGAACACTTAATAGTGCTGACAGAGACCATATGGTCCTAAACCCCCAAATATTTACCATCTGGCCCTTTGCCAAAAATATCTGCCAATTATGAATAACACCATTTTATGTCCTGGAAGACTAAATGAGTTATACATTATTTCTGAGAAATAGCCAGTGTAAAATATATTCATATTCAAATAATACCAGGTTTGTATCAATCTTATTTTTTAAAGTTTGCAAAACTTAGTAAGTATTCTGCATAACAGTCTTTTGGCTTTTTCCCTGCTTAAAAGAATAATGCTGAGGTTTTCATTATACCTTACCTCAAGTTATACTGCAGAGCCATAGTAACAAATGTAATATGGTGTTGGTACATAAATAAACATAAAGAGCACTAGACTAAAATAGAGAGCTCAGAAATAAAGCCACACAATTATAGCCACTTAGTTAAATTTGTCCAAGAAGGTATGTTTC